AGAAAAAAGAAAAAAAAAAGATTTTTTTTGAAATTACCTTCTAGATCTGCGGCGTAAGGAGGCGAAGAGAAGCTTTGCTGGTCAGCTGCAACGGCGCCGGATCCGTTGACTTTTTCAGCGAAGAAAGCCCAATTAGCAACCAAAGGCAACGGTTTCTTCTTTCATGTCCAAATTCTTTCTTTCCTCCGTGTAAGAAAAGTCTAGGAGAGAAAGACGAAAATGGAAAAGGTGGATTTAAATAGTGGATTGGGGTCCGGTGGCGGGAAGTGAACGGGGCCGTCCGTTGAGTTGGATGTAGGAGATCTGGTAAGAGACAGCTATTTTAGCGGAGATGTCGGAGGAGCGTGGGCTTGTTGTCGGAAAGGAACCACCTTACGTGTTTCGTTGGAGTAAAAAGAGATAGGGAGAGTGGGTTCTGATTAGATGCTTTGCGGGCAATTGTTTAACTTGCAATACTACGCTTATCGTTTATAGTGACACCGACATTAAAAAATTATTTTTACTAAAATGGTAAAAAATAAATAAAATTATTTTTACTAAAATGGTAAATACATATATATATATATATATATATATATAGAGGAAAGATGTCGGGATCCGTACATGGATTTGTATAATTTTCTTTAAGAGTTAAAATGATAAAAATTAATTTATTTGATTTATTAATTATTTTTTTAATAATTGACATTATGCTTGTTAAAATTTTAAATTTTAATATTTATAATTTTTTTTATCAAATTACGTCTTTTTTATAAAAAAAAAATGATAAATTAAAACTTTTAGACTTTGGAGTCTAGATATGAGTTTTATATTACACTAATTATTTATGATCAAATTCATCATTTTATTTTTCCCTTCTTCTTTTTGTTTGTTTGTTTTGCATTGATTTTTATGAAATTAAAAAAAAATTTGGATTTTAATGTATTTAATATTAAAATTAATTTTTTATAAAATTAAAGTTTCATAAATTTTAATGTGAGAAAATTTAAAAAATTGTAAAATATAATTTTAAAATATAAAAAATTAAAAATATTAAATATTAAAAAAATGATTTTGAGACATAAAAAAGATGGATATAAAAAAAAATTTACCGAAGACAAACAGAGTTATGAAATTGGATGTATCCGTTATCCCATTGAAAAATAATCTTTAATATCATCACAAAAGCAGATAGCTTATATTAAGTCTTCCAATTAACCATCCATTTATGTTTGGACATGGTTCAATTTTCTGCTCGGCATTTTAAATTTTGGTTAAGACCACGTGGTAGTTCTGTTCATAGCTGGCCCTTGATGGCCAAGGACCAAGGAACCAGCTTGATCAGCACATTGTAAATCAAATCTTTCTTTCTCCTAAACCTTAAGTCCTTCGTAATTAATTCAAATCTTAATATTCTTCTTAACATTTTCAAGCAACATTAAAAAATAGTAGAAAAGAAGTAATACGATTTTAAATTATCATTTACCAATGTTGTAAATTTTAAATCTTTATTATATTTTATCGTTTAATTTTAACATTAAAATTTATGATTTAATATGAACATTTGAATCAATTATTTATATATATTTTTATACTCATTCCCTTTTCCCTCCTTTTTAATTCCTTTATCTTCTTCAATTTTCAATTCTCTGATTTTTTTTTTAAAGAAAATTATTTTCTTGTTTGTTGGCACTAATTTTAGGTATTAAAGATCGGTTTTTTAATGGTAAATTTGGTATATTTTTCTTGTGCTTTTGATACTCTTCAATAGAGCAGCTTTATCTTCTTATAGTTTCCCGTGTGCTAATGTAATTACACTCTTTCAGGTAAAGATGAAGAATTTTTCACCTGAAATTGACTCAATGACTTACATGATAGTTCATGTTCAATGTTTCTTAACTTTTTGATGAATTTATTGTATTGTATCTTTGGCAGATGATAAGTTCATGTTCTTTTCTCTATGTTCTAAGACGTTGGAAGATTATATCTTTTGAAAACAATGAATCTTTGACAATTTCTGGCAGCAACACGAATTTGGTTCTCTTGAAGACATTGACGAATTTGGTTCTCTTGAAGACATTGATTCATACCCTTCCTCTTTCTGGAACCTATTTGCTTTACATGGTACCATATGTTTCTTTCAATGGATAATTGTTTACTTACTGTCTTCTTGATTTTGACTAATAAAAAAAAATCGGTTCTTTCTCTTTGTCCTTGTCCTTGAAAGCTAGTGACAGTGGAGTCTGTTCGTGGAGTAAACGTTCCCATGTACACAACTATTAGGCGAACTACTGTTGTATTTACGATGATTGTGGAGTTTCTTCTGGCAGGACAGAAGTATACATCATCTATAGTTGGAAGGTAACTGTTTCTTTGATCCCTTTCATGCTATTGCTTCTCATAGGACTTGTCTGTTTCTCAATTTGCTTGAGATTTATTTATAAAAGCTTAGATTGTGCTTCATTGGGTTGCTAGGAGCATTCTACTATGTAATTTTGAAGCCTAAGTTTTTTTTTTTTTTTTGGTTATTTTTCACTGAGAGTGCCAATACAAAATTTGAAGATGGTCAATAGAAAGGCCTATGATAGCTTTGGTTTGTTCCCATCAGATGGGAGCCAAGTCCAAGATTTGTTTGTCAAATTGCCAATTCCCTTTCTTTAATGCACACAATAGATATAAGCAAAATGGCATAAAAGATTTGTAAAAATTGGAATTATATTGAAGAAAAAGATTGTAGCAAGCAAATAACTAAAATAAGTAATATGAGCTTTATCTTGCGGATAATATGTTGACACTTTGACACATCTTTTATATGGTTTTCTGCTGATTTCTGTCTAGTTTTGAGATTGTGGTTATGGTAGGATCCCATTCTTCCTTCTGCTATGACTCGACCATCTTCTAGTTGTACATGTGTTCAATTTTGAGAGTTCCACCAGGTGGTTTTTAAAACCTTAGATGGATAATGTTTGTGAATCAAAAATTTTAAAAGTCCTTTTACTAGACATGTTTCTGATTTCTTCATTTAACTGAAAAACTTTAAAGATGTTATCAGTGTTGGGTTGATTGTTCTTGGCGCATTTGTGGCGGGAGCTCAGGATTTGTCATTTCACTTTTACAGATACGCTGTTGTTTTCTTAGCCAACATCACTACTGCAGTATATCTTGCAACCATAGCGCGCATTGGCGGTATTCTCACCTTTTTCTTTCTTTTTTAATTCTTTTAATCGCATTTCATGTTCACTATTATGACATACTTGTTGTGTGCTTGCCTACATTTCCTCTTTGTCAGGGAAATCTAGCAGGCTTAATAGCTTTGGGTTTATGTGGTGTAATGGTAATTAATGACTCTAACTAGAATCACATATCCTTTACTTCCATGGCCACATAATTTTTGGTCCCATTTATACTTAAGATTAACTGAATTTTTGCAATAGTTATGATATGTGGATCGGTTTTGTTGTCGTGGACATTCTTCATGGCGACTTGAAGAGTACAATAAATTTTCCTCACCTCTTTTCACCTGGTTTCTTGGTACGTTTTGCTCTCTCAATCAAATTCCTGTATCAATGTAGATATTTATTTTTATGTTTGGGATTTGCCTCTTTGTTCCATAGTCCTATTTTTCACCTGTTGTTGCAATGCTTCTTAGTTTTACTACATATAACTCGAGAGGTAAAGGAGATGCATTTTTCTCCTTTTTGGACAGGCTGTGTTGATTCTTTCCTGTACACTAACTTTCTTCTTGATTTACACTATATTCTTAAACACAACTCTCAATTCAGCTGTCACACAAACCATTTGTGGCAATCTGAAGGTTTGTTTACATATTTCTCAAATCCGATTCATGCATTGTCCTCTGACCATCTGACAGCCATGGAAAAATAATGATCTGCAATTTCTTTCTCACTTTGCCTAATTGTGTTTAATTAAGGAACCATCATAATGAAGTTCTAAATGCTAAAAACTTTAAATGGATTATTCATTAGATTTTGAGCATCTGACTTTGCATATGATTTTGGTAGCTTCAGTATGATGATGCATTTCTCATCTCCATTTATAGATGCCACCTGCAAGGTATCACCATTTTTTTTAGGCACTGGATGTCCTTTTTGGCCATGATTACTGTCATGAAGCACATACAAGTTTTTTTTTCTTTATCAGAAAAAAGGTACATATTTTCCACATTTTTTTCTCGGATTTGCTAGTTAATAAGCTGTTGTAGCATCTTTTTACCATTGGACTTGGCCGGGTGCTATTTGGTGGGCTTCCCTTTGACTGTAAGTGCTCAATTTATCTTGTTCTTGCTGCTAGTAAACATGGGACATAAATTATTAGTTCATTTATTTCCTTCTGAGTTGCACATGTATGATGGGACTTGATTTTTTTTTTTTTACCGCTGAATGTTTAGGGCAATTGCTGGGGTTTGTTGGTTCTGCCTTGTATGCCTACTACAAGCTTGTGGGGAAATGAGTAGCCAGGCTAAGAAAGGAAGAAAGCTTATGGGGAAATGATTATCGGGCCGATGGAAGAAAGCTACCCTTCAAAAGAAAGGAGATTTCACAGTGAGAAGTTGCTGATCTAAAGATTTAAAGGAAACTGAGGCCTGCTTGCAATTAGAACCAATGTTGTTGATTCTCTGCTCATCTTACCATTTTTTACTTCTCCTTTTACCCTCCCTCCTTGGGTTCATAGGAATGTTAAATTTGGTGAAAATTTGTAAACTTGAACAGTTATGATAGCCTACAACTAATCCGATTGTATATCTGTTGTAGGAACCTTTTTTTTTTTTTTGACAAATTTCTAACAATATACAGTATTTGGCTTTCCATTTTTTTAGTAAAAAATAAAATGTTCTAATTCCCCATTATCTTCATTCTGTTTCATTACTCGGCCCTGTTGATTCATAAACCTGATTCGGCCAGAAAGGTTTTTGTTGGTGCTAAGATGGGACTTGAGGACAAGAACTTGACATCACAAGTACGAGGTCAGTTAAAAACAAAGGCTGGAGTTGTATTTGACATTTCCGCTTTGAGGCTTAACTCAGTTCCAAGAAAAAGAGAAAAAAATAAAAATATAGAGAGAGAATGTGAAGAATGAGATGCCAATACGTCGGATGACAGGGGGTATTTATACTTGTAGAAGGGTATTGTCGGGTCAAGATGACTCAAGTTTGGAAATTAGGTCTTGTCGAGCGCTAATGGCTGGCTGATATATCAGCTTGATCGCATGTGTGTCAAGTGCGTTAAACTAGCAAGGCCGGGGTAAGCTTGATAAATCAGAATAATATGCCGGGTCAACCTGGCGCAAATGACTGAATTACCCGATGGTTTTGGCCTTGGGGAGCATAAAATGCTCTCATCAGTTTCCAAATGGAATTTACACCTGAAATTTGGATTGGAGAGGCAGTCTTGTAACTTTGAATTCAATTCTTCTTTTTCCGGTTACATTCAAACTTCTTTCTCTGATTGACCATTTCTCTAATTTACTCGTCAACCAAACTGCCTAACGAGAAGCATTTACGAAACAAATGCCACGTGCAACAACTAACACTATAACCGTTAAGATTCTCTAACTTTCAGAGCTTTAAAAACCTACCAGAGGAAGCCAAAATAAAACGCAAAGGCAAACGCCCATTACTTCTTTCTTTCTCCATAATCTCTCATTCAGAATCTCCACCGACACAAGTTCCTTAAGGTTAACGATGATGCGTGTTGCTTTCTCCAAAGAATCAAATTTCTTCTTTCTTACACACCACCTTGCTCAAATGGGTTGAGCTTTCGATATATAGTTTTTCCAGACATAAAAGCGGTTGTTTTGTTCTTTTTTTTTTTTTTGTGTGCGTGTCTTTTCTTTCTTCTCCTGTTTTTCTTGACAGCATGTTGAGAATCGAAGTGGAGGATTTCGTTACTCCAAGGGCTTCTTTGGAGAAGCCAAGGAGGTCTATCTCATTGCCACTGCCATCCCTGGTCGGTATCAATGGTTTCTCTCTTAAACATTTCTCTTATTCTAAGCTTCCCGAAGAGCCCATCAAGCTCTCCGTTCAGAAATTGGATGGCTCTTCCTTTGGTACTTTTCTCTCTTTCTTTTCCTTTCTGGGTTTCTATTTCAGAATGTTGAGAATTCAGGAATTGTCAAATTTTGGAAATCCCAAAAGAAATCATTACATTTGTTAATGACTTGTTTTGCGGTCCATTCGTTTGGTTTTGCAGATGTTGAAGTTACAAAGTCGGCTAACATTGCCGAGCTCAAGCTGGCAGTGCAAGATGTCTTTAGTCATATGCCAAAGAAAGGTCCTGGCAAGATTTCATGGTATGTACTATGCTCTCCACTTATTTTATCTTCTTTTCTTTGCTATGCCCACATTGTATGAATTGCACAACTCTTTGTACTTTGGAGGTTTTTTCTCATCCTACACTCAAGACATGGATGTATTAGTAAATCTTGATTGTTCATAATTTGATTAGTAAACGAACAGAATTGAAAAGAATTTTGATTGATGTGTTATTGACCTTAAATTGCTTTTTGTGATATGATTCATATGAATCCGAATTCTACATCATGGAGGCCGCATGTTTGGGGACATTTTTGCTTGTACTATGATGGTCAGAAGTTGGTCGTAGACACTGACCATATCATAAACTATGGCATCAAGGATGGTGATCAGGTTTGTAACATGTTTCCTCAGTTCTTAGAACATAATTTGACATAATATTTAGTTCCCATAATGAGTTATATTAATTTTTTTTTGTTTATTCTATTCAGCTTCATTTTATTAGGCATGTCACCTCCAGCTATAACCTGACAAAGATTCGATCAAAGAGAAGGATTGTTGCTCGAAAGCAATCATATCGGTAAGACTTTTTACATAGACTATTCCTCTATGTTAACCTGTTTTAAGTATTACAAGTACCCACTTTTAACACCAATAAGAATCTGCCACAACTGCTTATGCAAGCAAGACTGATTTTGGCTGACCGGCCTTATTCCACTATAATGACAACGTTTACTGTTTTCGAATCTGTACAGCATTGGTGCCCCATTCTAAACCTCAAATTAGTTAGTATTTGTGAACTCTATTTATTTAGTAAACTCGATTCCCCATCACTGCATTGCTATTTATACTAGGACTTGGAATTGCAGAAGCCATGAGACAGCAATCCATGAACAGGGAAGTTTGCAACCTATTGTGGGTTGTATCATTCATAGCTGTCACGTAATGGTGCTAAGACCGGTCTAATGAAAATGTTAAGAGGCTTAAGGATATCCTCCTTTTGCAGACTCAATATGGTTAAACCTTGAAAATTCACCTGGCAACTATATACATCTTCTAATGTTGTTATCCTTTATCAAAACAGTGTATGATTAACCAGTTCGGAATATGCAGGTCAATATCAAGCTCAACTAGTTCTTTAGAGAGTGAACAGAACGATGAAGAAGATGATGATTATGATGATATGGAGAATGGAAGATATCAGAGTCTCAAAGATAAGAAACAAACTATGATTGTACAACAAGAATGCCAGTTTGGCCACTTATGGAGAGGTCGGTCGTCATATTCAAGGATGCCAACTATTAGAAGAACAGGATCTAGTAATGGCAAGGTTTGCCACCCTGGATATGGTTGTAGTTTCTCAGGGAATTTTAGGAAAATCTTACAGCTTTGGGGTAGTGCAAACTATCCTCTAAAGCGTGCATGAAGGGAAGACTAGACGGTTGCCGAAATGCATTTGGCTTGGATCCAAATTTAGTTACTGTCTAGCATTTTGATTTGGTAAAATATTATTGTATTTCATACTATCCTAATGCATAAACCATTGAAATTTCCAATGCTTGACAGCTTGAAGCGATCCCTAGGCCTTCATGGTGATTCTTTACAGGGCTTGAGTAAGCCCAATTTTAACCCTGCGAATCTCGATGTATCTAACTATAAAGAAAGAGAACCCATATCTCTGTATTGGGCCAATGACAATTCTGATGGACTCACTGTCACCCTCGACTCGAGTCATTTCCCTTGGGGTCCAGTCCACCGCAGCCTCATCAAATTGGGTGGCAAAGAATGAGATAGCCGGCCCTCTGTAAAATTTCACTACCCATCTTCACACAAAAAATTCCTTAGTTTTCTATTTGAACAGCACCATCCCACGTTTCCAATCAGATCCTCGTCACGTTTATTAGGTCCATTTGAACGAATAATGAAGTTAATTAATATAAAATTAATAATAATAATAATATTTATTATAATTATAATTAAAAAAGATTTTTTAATTTTTTTATATTAAATGAATATAAAAAATATTTATATTAAATTAATATAAAAAATATTTATATTAAATAATTATAATATTTAAATTCATTTGACGGGACGAACTGGACTCACTGCTATAAAGATGAATCCAAACCTCTACTTGATTTATCAGAACAGAATCAACCACACAGAAAGCCATGTCCAGTGTGATCATGGCCTCCTCAAAACCTATTACATCGTCCTTTCAATCCAAACCGAAACTCCAACAAATCCCCCAACATTCCCTACCAAAAATCCCCACTCCAAAAATCTTGAAATCCCAACAAATCCTCTCACTCTCTCCTTCCATTCTCAAATCCATCTCCCCCTTGACAGTTACCTCTTTTATCCTTTGCCGCACCCTCTCTTGCTGAAGAAATAGAAAAGGGTGCTCTTTTTGACTTCAACTTAACTCTTCCAATTATGATGGGTCAATTCTTGCTCCTCATGTTTGCTCTTGACAAGATCTACTTTACCCCACTCGGGAAATTCATGGATGAGAGAGATGCTGCAATAAAAGAGAAACTTGCCAGCGTGAAGGACACCTCTGAGGAAGTGAAGCAGCTTGAAGAGCAAGCTGCCGCTATCATGAAAGCTGCAAGGGCTGAAATTTCAGCACAGATAAGGGTATTGGTAACCAGATACGGCACATTGGTATTCCATATCTACTCCTGGGAGTTAGATTGCCCAGCTCAGATAATGCACAGGGGCTTGGAACGCCGAATTACATGGCTCCAGTACAGTGGCAACCAGAAATAAGGGGTCCAATATCATTAGAGACTGATTCATGGGGATTTGCATACAGCATTGTGGAGATGCTCACCGGCATTGATCCTTGGCATGGGAAATCAGCTGATGAAATTTATGACCTGGTTGTCAGAAAACATGAGAAACCACTTATTCCAAGTGGCCTTCCTCCTCCAGTTGAGAAAGTTCTTCTTGGCTGCTTTGAGTATGACTTCAGAAGTCGTCCCGGAAGGAAATGTGGTGGATTTAGAACGTAGCACTGATCAAGATGGTTTTGTTTTGGTGAGGGTTCACGGCATTCATGACCCATTAAGGGTTGATGTTTCAGCAGGTTCACTCTTGGCTTAGCAGCTGGGGACTGGGTACGTTTGAAGGAGGAAAACAAAAGGCACTCACAAGTAGGTATTCTTCATTCCATTGACCGTGATGGAAGTGTTGCTGTGGGGTTTATAGGGTTGGAAACTCTTTGGAAGGGAAGTTCTTCGGAGTTTCAGATGGCGGAATCTTACTGTATTGGTCAGTTTGTTCGGCTGAAATCTAAGGTGCTTAGCCCTTGCTTTGATTGGCCTCGCAAAAGAGGAGGTATTTGGGCTACTGGGAAAATTTGCTGGATCCTGCCAAATGGATGCCTTGTCGTCAAAGTTCCCTGGCAGACTAAGTTTTGGAGAGAAATTCAGCAAAATTTTGCCTGATCCATCTGAAGTAGAAGTGGTTTCGTTTAATAATTGTCCAGGGGTGGTGAAAAAGTATAAACATCTTGAGGATTTTCACTGGACTGTGAGGCCACTTCTAGCTGCATTGGTTCTATTTACAGCAATGAAGGTGGGATTTTTGTGTTGGAAAGAGAATTGGGAGGTCAAAGGTGAAGCGACAGAGCAGTGTAATTCAAAGTGATTTCCAACATATGGATGGGCAGACTGCTGGCAACCCTGCATGGCTTCCACCACCTGTGGCAAATATTCTTTTCAGGGAAGTTGCTGCTCGGTAGTTTCCTGCCCGGTTCATATACTCAGAGGCATCTTACTAACTCTGTTGGGTTGCAGTCGTTTACTGTTTCTAATGTAAATGGTTATCTACATCTTGATGTGGACTTTTTAACTATCTACATTTTAGATATATATATATATATATATATATATTAGTGCATTGTCTCTTTGCTCTACATATCTATATCCAGCTGATCTAAATCTTGTGATGATTATTATGTCCTGTATCTGCTTTGTAGAAAGGTCTGAGCTAAGGGCATGATCGTGTGTTTGCAAAAGAACTGCTTTCGGAGATAGTTGCCGATGTTTTGGACCTTTTGGGCAATGAATAAATAGTTCAGGAAGTTTTGCTCATAAGACACCTCATAAAACAACATTATTATAGTTTCACTTGGCATTAAAAAAACAAAGAACAAATAGGTTTCACAGCTGCACGAACGATGAGAACATGATTAACGGTCCAACGAGCGGGCAACTAACCTACGACCCAATATTTTGCTTAGATGAACGGGCCACTTTCTAATCCCACCCAATAATTGAAAGCCGAAAAAGGTCAGAAATCTATATACAAAACCCAGTCAGGCGCTTCAACTTTGAAGGTGTGAACCAACAATTCCAGCATCTATTACCAGCTGCTCTGTCAAAGCTGAAAGCCTGGCTACTCCTGTTTTAACCTCGGTGAAGGATTCATTGTTCTCAATCATGCTAATTATAGGATCAGAATTACCTTGCAGGAAGATACCGGTATCATAATCCATCTCAATACTCGCGCTAGCTTTATTCAAGAGTTCACGGCTCATTTCAGCTAGTTTTTGAAGAGCGCTAATGGCAGCTTCAACTTCCAGTTGAGCTGCCTCGAGTTGAAGCTTCTCAATAGCCAAGTCGCCAATACTTTTCTCCCCAATTCTCCCTTGCGCCAAAGCATAAAGTTTCCACAAATCATTGCCATCTTCAACCATTTCTTCCTTCAGTCTTTGTACTTCTTTTTCCCTTGCCTCCAACCTCCCAAGAACCATTTTGAGCTCCTCATCTTTTATTGTGAGAGCCCTTTGTGCAGCAAGAACTTCCATTTCTTTAACTTTTAAGCTCTCTTTGGTGAATTTGAGTTCTGTTTCAAGCTGTTTTTTCTGCAATTTGAAATCATTAGGAGGTCTATCTACCAGCTGATGCATTAATTCATAGCCCACGTCATCCACAGGCCTCAGCACACTATTATCTTCGTCCTTAACAGAGATAACTAGTCTGTTTGTGAGATCTGCAATTCGTTCTATTACAGTTTCAGCTTCAGAGAATTTCATCTTCGTGTCATTCAACTCATCCTGTACTCTCTGAACATGTTCATCTTTCTCCTTCAATAAAGCAGTCGCTTGAATGAGCTGATTTTCTTTACTACTCATAAGCATCTTCACCTCTGCAATCTCCTGATTTACTTGCTCTAACTTCTTCCTGGCATTGGAGAGTTCCAGGTCTTTCTCCTCCAAGATAAGCCGAAAAGAAGCCTGCTCAGATTGCAGATGCTGGATTTCGAGCTTAGCATCCACCAAATCTGCTTCTTTACTTTGCAGAACATTGCTCATTTCACCAAACTCAGCATTCTTTTGCTCTAACTTCTGTTGAAGAAAAGAGACATCCTGGACAGCCTGATGAAGTGAAGATTTCTCTTTCTTCAACTCCTCTTGTAACTCTTCTATTAGTTCTTTCTTCACAGATAAATCCCGTTCAAGCTCCTTGTTTCGAGCCTCCACAACCCTAAGCTTCACTCTTTCACTCTCAACTTCTATCTGGCCATTTTTCAAACTTTCCATGTATGATTCAACACTTCTCTTCTGTTCTTCAAGCTCTTCCAGTTGCTTTTCCAATAACTGTTCTTGTTGTTTCGTTTGCTGTCTGGAGGATGCCAGAGATTTCTGAGAAGAAACCAACTCAGACCTCACTTCAGAAAGTAGCTGCTTCACTCTTCTGAAATCTTCAAAGGTTTCATTAGCTTCTCCCACGTATGATGCTTCTTCAGCCAGTTTTTTCAGTTCTTCTTGTGCTAATAACCACTCCATTGTCTGCTGCTGCAATTTAGACTCGGCAGCTTTCAGCTCCTCGTCTTCAAGTTTCCTTAGTGTCACAAAAGTTTCTAACTGCTCTTCTTTCTCTCGAATTGCTTCTTGGAGTCCTTGAAGCTCAATTTTTTGCTTCTTCATAACCTCATTGGCTTCATTCAAGAGCTGCGACTTTGAATTAAGTTCAGATTCAATCTTGGCAGCTTCCTCACTCTTCTTCTCCATTTCATTCCTCATTTTAACCATTTCATCTTCTTTCACAGACAGTGCAGATTTTGCAGCTACGATCTCCTGGTCTCGTTCTTTGACCTGAAGCTTCAAATCTTCCATCAGACTCGCTTGAGAAGCAAATGCAAGATTTGCCTGCTTTAGCTCCTCTTCCAGTTTTTCATGCTTTGAAGACGCAGCAGCAATTTCTTTCTCACGTTGCTCCAACTCGTTCTTCGCACGGCTCAATTGACTTTGCTCCAATACAACCGTTCTTTCCGCATCCTGCAGATCATCTTCCTTTCGCTTGAAGGCTGACAAAGCAGCTTGCAGATCAGACTCCAGAGTCTCAAGGTTCAAAACCAGGTGAAAATCCTCAAGCTCTTGACCATCTCTGCTAATTCCTTGTTCAAGTTTCTGGACCTGTGCAAACAATCTCTCAAGAAGAATTCTTGCAGATCCAGTTGCCCCATTGTCGTTAATGCTTGACTTGCTGTTATCTAAGATAGATTTAACAATGACCAGAGAAAAGCCTTTCCCTTTCTTTACATCCAAAAATGGTAATGTTTTCTGTTTCCAATCACTCCTCAGCAAGGCTGACTGCAGAAACCATTGCTCAACTATAAATAACTACTCATTCACTTGGCAAACAATGAACAGAAATCTACAACAATAAAATTTGCTTTAGATTCTATAAGATGTGAAATAAATGACTTAATTATTAATAATTCTTTGTCCTTTACACTTCTTTTCTTGACAATTAAAGAAAAATATTAATGGTGAAAATCGATTAAAGATCATAAAATAAAATTTCCATGATTTATTTTTATTCTGGATAGTGGTTTCATTTTGTTTTTTCATTTCTTCAGTCGCCTATGGGCTGAAATAAATCGAAAAAAAAAAACCAAAAAAAAAAAATTGAGAGATGAATGGAGATATCACGTCGCGGCAATGAAGAGGAGAGGTGGCTGGAAGATTGGGGCGAAGAGCAGCAGAGAAGCCCATGCTTTAGGTCCTTGAGCACATTCCCTAAACTTAATTTACTCGAACAAGAACCAACCCTTCAACTTTCATCTGGAACATCCACGTAAAAGATTTCGAGTTTCTAGCTAGACGGCCATGTGACTTGGAGATGGAGCAACGAAAGCCTATATGTTACTGCCCCGTATACTTTTTGTGAGGATCTTCTAACCAATATGTTTCTGCCACGTGGAGAGACTGGTTTGGAAAGCGGTGGAAGTGCTAGGGGAGGACACGTATATTGGTCCACCATGCCCATTAGACAACATTTTGTTTTCTGTCTGGTCCCTGGATAAATCAATGCTGATTGGAGCCCAAATTCTTTGCCTGACATTAGCATTTGTTCATTGAAATTTTGGATTTTGGGCATCACCCATTTTGAATTTTGAGCAGTTGGTTCACAATTGGTTAAGGCTGTGGCAAATTCTTGGCCATAGACTGCAAAAGGAGAGGCTTTTTGTTTTTCTTTACTTGATATTTACGCTTTGTGGCTATTAAAGGAGGCAACAAACCTTTGTGTTTATTATTAACAGATCTTCGAATTCCACAAGGAATCAAGGACATGACCTATAAAAGATTTATCTCCGAGGAATCGAGAAGTTTACTTCCAGATGTAAATATTTTTGTCCGGCTTTGCAGTCTAAGAGCATGGGCCTACATTATTGCAGAGCCTCTCCACCAACTAAAACGCTCAGCAAACTAGCCCATATTATCCCAACTCAAGCCCCATTTCTAAAAAGGCCTCATCCATCCAATTAAGTAATGGGCTCAAAAGAACTAACCATAGCAGTCTGAAAGGAGCTGTTTACTCTTTTTAATAAAATACTATAATATAAGTTTTAGACAAGATAATTTCAAAAATGAAATGATATAAAAATAATACGAATAAAAAATAAAAATAATTTAATTTAAAATTTTAATAAAAAATTATAAATAAATTTAATAAAAAATATATTTTATATTTTTATATAGATATAAATTATAATATATAAATTTTTATATAAAAATAATATAAATAAATAAAATTTTAATATTTTATAATATAAAAATTGATAGATTTATTTCAAAGTATAATTGAACATTTGACTGAATATCCTTTTTTAGATTTGTATGAAGATTAGCTGAAATTATTGAAGAAACCAAGGGATTTTGTTATCATGAGATCCGTTTAATATCATAGTCGATGTCATGTTTATCCTTAAACATCATTGTCAAACAAAGCTGTAATGATCCGATGAGTGACGAAAGTGAGGGACTCAGCAATTACCCTAAGAAATCTCGTTAAGTAAATTTTCAATTCAGAAAAAAAAAAAAATGGGCCCCCTAAAATCACTTCTCTCTAAGCAACTTATACATCAACGAATCCATTAATATTAATCAAACAGCTAAAATATATGTCCGGTGATGATAAGCTGTAAAACGTTGGCGAAGATACAGTTGAGGTTAGGTATTTTGTATTATAATCTTCTGTTCAATCTGTAACAGATGAACGTTATCATAATTTTGGGTTGTACGAGGTCCACGCCCCAATTAATTTTTTACGGAGCGTGGTGTGGGTCCTCTTTTTTTTGAACTGGAAGAGGAACTTAGGATTCGCTGCAACACCAAATGTCGACACAAGCTTGAACAAAAATTTTTTGCCAGACAGAACAAGAATCAAGACATGAATCGTGCTGAAACATGTCTTGGTTTTGAAGTCAACCTAGTTGGTATTTTGCAAACCCCAAAATTTTGGAAATATTTTGTGTAAAAATCCAAGAGATTTTGTTCTTACCCGATGTTGATCAATTATATTGATCTATTTTCTCTCTACGCGCAAATAATAAGAGGGCGGAGCACATTGGATCAGATCACACGTTCATGCGTTTGACTTGCATTGGATATTAAAAAGGAAAGAATTGGAGATCACGTATGAAATGGAGGGTGGAGATGGAAGGAGGAGTTCGGGGGAAGATCAGAAGCGTTGAAAACGATGGTGGAGGGATAGAAAAATATGGGGACAATTGTAAAAAAAAAAAAAAGAAAAGAAAGCAAGAGATGTGAGAGGGGTTCAGGTTAAAGGGGTTAAATGATACTTTCAAGTTCTTTAAGTTTGAATAAAAAAAATTAGAATTCAATTTAATTATTATTTAATTAAGTTTTATTTTGAACAGTTTAATTTGTTTAATAAGTTAAATTCAAATATTTCATGATTTGAATAATTTATGAAATTAATAAAATTTTTATTTTTAATATATATTTATTATTTTAATTAAAAATTATTATTTTATTATATATATATATATCGAGTTTTTATTTAAATTTAAATACAAATAATCAATTTTAAAATTAAATTTAAAATTAAATTTATTTTTTAATGAATAAATTTAATTAAATGAATTCAAATAATTTGATATTTATTTTAAATTAAATTTTAATGAATTCAAATTTAATTTTAAATAATAAACTTTCAATCAAATTCCAATAGAAAATTTTCATTGTTTCAACTAAACTAGATTTGATTACTTCTAATGCGGATCTAATCTAAATTGAGTAGGTAAAATACTTAGAAAAGTGTTAACGATCGTGTTGTCATGTATACTAGACAATACTCGCGTGCTCATGAACACTAAATCTAGTATGTTCATCTTTATTTTTGTGGGTCCATCAAATAAAAGTGCGGCTCCACGCCCATTCCTCAGCGCGTTTCACCCAAATGCTACTGGCATTTTTGGTGAACTACTAAAGACCAGGCACGTGAATACACTCTCTTCAAGTATAATAAATAATTAAAAAATTAAAACATCATTTCATGAGAAACATTTTGGAGTGTGTTAATAACGCGCAAGAGGTGAGAGTAGGGAAGTATTCATTGTATAATGACGTCACCCGTATCTACGTCGGGGCCCTAGATATTAAAGTAACAATATACGGTCAATTGAGGAAAAGACAAGCGCCTAGATTTCCAATCCGTCTGCGGCCGCAATCCACCACTCGATAAACCCCACTTTCTAGAGACCCACATCAAAGCTGTTGAGATCCTTCCATCTTCCACGTGTACGGCCCATATAAACTCATTCACATTTACCAACTAGCCATGTCACCACGCTGTGAGACAGAAGAAAAAAAAAAAGGAAGAGAGGGACCATCTCCAAAATCTGAAAAATCTTTTGCAGATGATTCTCTGCACTCGGTAGCCGTCAATTTGTTGTAAATGACTAAAATACCCTTACCTCGTTCTTTTCAAAAGGCAGAGCATGGTAGGGTGGATACTGGAAGAAAAAAAAAAAGTTACATTGCGATTCTATTTATAGTATTATATTGATTCACGTCATATTGAGACAACGTGAATGGAAAGGAAAGGTTTTTAAGGCTGCGTTTGTTTGTTTCTTTTTAAACGAGAAAAAACAAGTAATGTTGCTTTCAAAACACTGGGCCGTGAATTGTAGGAATCCAAAGAATCTTCCTTTTTAGATAATGGTATGGAAAAACCATGTTTTAAAGAGCCATAGATTAGATACACTGAACGGTGAGAATCCGCAAATTAGATATTCTACTAGAAGATTGCATTTGTCCTAATCGTACTTTTATTAAGATTATCATAGTTTTGATATTGTTAGGTTAAAATTTTTTTAATTAATTAAATATTTAAATCAACGAAATAAATAAATAAATATATAAAAATAATAATTTAATAAAATTCAATTCAACTTATATCAACAAATAAAAATTTTAATTTATTATAAAAAATTATAAATATATTAATAAATTAATCTCACTCATAATAAATATTTATAATTTTTTTTTAATCATATAATATATTTTTAATTTAAACAAATATTAACACATATTATATGAATCTTCTAATCTTTTTTAATCCACTTAAATATATATCAATAAAAATATCTCATTTTTCTCTAATTTTATGAATATTTATATCATAAAATCTTATAATTATATATATTTTTATATTTAATTTTATAAAAATTTTATTTATTTATAAATATATAAATTTATCTATTAAAAATCTCTTTACCTTTATAAATTTTCTTCTATGAATCTTATATCTATCAATCACTATCTAACCAATTACATTTCAAACAAATTTCTATCCGAATTTTTATGACATATGAGGCAATCTCACCAACTTTCAGCAAATGTGGGTTGACTCTTGACTTTTGACGGAAGGAAACTTAGGGAATTTAAAAAAAAAAATTTTAGTGTCAGAACTTGGAGAAGTGAAAGCCAAAATGGTGGCCGTACTGGCTGGCTGACGCTTCCACTTTCTTAGGTGGCCGACATGCTCAAAGGGAAGACAAAAAATGGTAGGACAACGGTTTGTCTAAAAGATCAAAACTCTTGATAATGATATCATGAAATCGAGTATTGAATGTAGCAAATTTCACAGGTGTTGGTTTGAAATTGGAGGAGTTAAGTGTGAAAACAGTGGCAAAAAAGGATACGAAAGTAAACATGGGAAAAGCAAATTTAAAAATTAAGGGTATAGCACGAGGAACAATGGCATGTTGATGTTAAAGTATTCAATGTAGAATTCAGAAATGCCAATTGCAATGAATGTGTAAAATCCAAAGAAAGAATCCAAAATGAACAGTTTTTTGGATTTGGAATTAAATGTGAGCATGAGATATGCGTGATGCGTGTTGCACACTTGCTTGAAGACAGCGTCATTAGTAACGTTACCTCAGAGCAATGGTGCTTTGGTCTGTCGATCATAAATAGACACACACACCCACAGAGGCACAGTCGCACAGACGCAGACACTCTCCTTCTCTCTCGTGCATAAACAAATAAGGAAGAAGATTGGATCTTTTAGTTCAGTTTACGAGGGAAATCGAAACAAAGAAGAAATCAAGGAAAAAGCAAAAAAAAAAAAAACATTCCTTGTTGTTTCAAAAGAGTTGAGCCATTGAGGAGATTAGAGAAAGAAAGAAGCAGAAGGAAAACAGAGTTGGAAGAAAGAATGTTTGCAGCGGAGAACGGACTCAAAGGAGACCCAAGGCTACAAGCCATATCTGACGCCATTAGGGTGGTTCCTCACTTTCCAAAACAAGGTTTTTTTTTTTTTTTCGCTTTCTTTTGTTTCTTTCTTTTGGATTTCTTTGAGGAGTTTTGATGAAACGAGTGTTTGTTTGATTGTTTGGTAATAGGGATTATGTTCCAAGACATAACAACGTTGTTGCTGGATCACAAGGCGTTCAAGGATACCGTCGACATCTTCGTCGATCGCTACAGAGACATGGATATCTCCGTCGTTGCTGGTACTCTTTATCTTGTGTATTCTTCTTAAGCGGTTAACTGTCGTTTGTTTTATTGTTTTCTGCTTGGTGTTTTATTTTGTAATTCTTTAGAATTTTTGTTCCTCTGAAAGCTGGCTTCAAAGCTGTCTGATGTTAATTATAACTTAGGGGGAAGGCTTTAAAACATTTACTCAAACCTTTTATCCTTCTGGGTTTTCTTGTAATCAATTTGCGCTGTTTGGGAACTTGGGTTATTTTCTCTTCTTTCTGTCTCGGACAAAACTGGTTAAAAGTTGGTTGTTTTATGGTTTTTATTTTTGATTTTCAGACATGTTCATTGACTGGGAGATCAGTTGTGGTCAATGTGCTTGTTTTGTAGTACTATCATCATTTTTTTTATAATAGGGGCTAGGTGATCTTTTCTTTAATTCTGAGTGTTCCTTATGCAAATTTACTTGTAGGAGTGGAAGCTAGAGGATTCATGTTTGGTCCATCAATTGCCTTAGCCATTGGTGCAAAGTTTGTTCCACTTCGAAAACCCAAAAAGTTGCCAGGTATTAATCTTGTATAATTAAGGATTAAGCGTAGAATGGAGATGGTGCTGCTTAATCACACTCTACTTTTCGTTGTTTGTCGATATTCAAAAAGTGAATAGCTAGCTCATTGTTAATGCGATTTAACTCAATCCATCCATTTTTTAAAAGTTAGTGATGAATGTGGATTTGAAGTACATGTCACTTGGCAGAAATAAAATCAGTTGAAATGATTGAAGGGGTTGCTTCATTGGTCAAGGGTGGGTGGCCTGGCTTTCAGAAAAAAAAAATCTATTATTTCATAAAAAAAGACTTTTTTTGTGCTGTCAATCATGCAGATGCAGGCTTGACCTCATCAAACTTCATCTCATTTCATTAATGTTTAAAAAACTACAAGTAGTAGAATATCTGAAAATGTCAGTAACTCAGAAAACAAATTGCAAAAGCAGATTGTAATCTTATACTAGTATTAAATTATTCAGTTGCTGTCATTTTTTTTTTTGGTATAAATCTCTTTCATAGAGACAAGTGCATACCAGTGCTATCACCTACCAAAAATAGAAAATGGACTCCATCCATTATTATTGGATATGGGTTGGTGGGTTTGATGGAATTTGAGTGGATCTTCTTTATCAGCTCTCTTCCCTTTTCAATCTTTTTAACATTCTTTTTTCATGCGCGTTGAATTATATATACAGGTGAAGTGATTGCTGAAGCTTATGAGCTGGAGTATGGAAGTGACTGTTTGGAGATGCACGTTGGTGCTGTTAAGCAAGGGGAACGTGCTATAGTAATTGATGATTTGGTAGCAACAGGTGGAACTCTGTCTGCAGCCATAAGACTCTTAGGTAAAGGATTTTAGCCTTCTTTTGAGCATATATGGATATCATTTTTTTTTTTGTTGGTGGTTTGATTGATTTGCATCTGCTGATAAAAATTCGTTTGCTCTCACAAATATACAATGTGTAACAATAATACGATGTTACTGTTTAAATAGAACGCGTTGGTGCTCATGTGGTTGAATGCGCTTGTGTTATCGGACTCCGCGAGGCCAAGGTAAATCCTTCTCAGTCTGAAATCGTGATGAATTGGGGGATTTCTCTGTTCTTGTTTTAGTTTCAAAAGGATCAAAACTTTTGAGTTTTAACCTATTTTTAGAAGATGTAACAATGCTGTATGGAGTTTGATCATCCTTTCTGATGATTGTTACCCATTTTCAGGGACAATGTAGGCTTAATGGAAAGCCACTTTATATTCTTGTGGAGCCACGCGAAGTAGATGGCTGTTATTAAGGTGGTATTATTGGTACATCTTCTAAAGCAAGAATTGTATGATTCTTTTTTTTTTCTTGTGAGATTTGTGGATGTTTTTCCTAGGGTTGAAAATTATGTTTTCATCCACAAATTGTGAACAAAGCACCAATGAAGAAATGCTGTTTCTCCATATTTTGTTAGTTTCTATTTAACCATGATTCCGAGACTCACAATATATATGACACACAAACTCTTCCGATAAAACTGCACACTGCACACTGCACAGGGAATATGATGATCGTACCTCCCTCCAGAACTGCAAATAAATCTTACGTATGGACTGAAGCGTTGTATGCCATACAGTCGTGACTAAGCCACATGTAATATAAAGATATGCGATCGTCTCTATTCACTTGTTTCATCATATCTTTTTACCAAGTTGCCATATGCAAAGAACAAGATAACCCAAATCACGTGGAATACAGGAAACGTATGTCCAACTCTGAAGCCTTGGCTTTCATATTTCTTATTCAAGTGATTTAAAAAAATAGTACGTGTATCCACAAAATTCAAAAAGTATAATTGTTAAGATCATGCAATTAAAGTATGTGATTGATTACTGGGAACTGTAACGGGGTTGCCTTATCATACTCTTACTCTATAAGCAAAAAAAGTGACAATATTCAAACCCCATTGCATCTTTCTGAAGACGTTTTAAATTTGTTATCATTATTCCTTGACATGAAATCACATTTGAGTCTATGCCGTAGGTGAGAGTTCACCTGCTTTCTTAATTTAGCATTGTTGGTGAAGATGCCAGCTATGATCTTCCTTAACTCATCATCTATTCCTTTATCATAGTCGTTGTCACATATGGTATCCTTATCCCCAGCGGCAGTGCTATCTTCCTTGGCTAATAGTTGTGCCTAATTAAATTGGTGCAGGGAAAAAATAGTTCGTGCAAAAGTTATGGAGGACCAAACAATGAAAGAATGATAAATAACACTAAAATATTAACAAAAAGAACGGCGGAGAGGGGAGGGGGAGGGAAAGAGAGAGAGGAGTAAAGTTGGGAGTCCGTTTATGGTATTTACTTATGATGGTGATGAAGCCTTTCATTTAACAATGTTTGATTGGGTGATAAAAAAGGAACAAAACTATCTTTTATTTTCTCCCCAAACTGAATAGAACTGAGTAATTATATGATCAACTAAAAGGGACGAGTTTCAACAATGTTGAAAATAGCCAAAAAAGCATGGTACCTCTGCAAGTAGGAGAGTGATTTTATTATCAGATGTAGTCAACAAATCCAATGCATCTAAGGAAGAATCTTTGATTAAATTTTCATCATCATCTGTAGGCAAATTCACAGTGCATTCAAGAAGTCGATTGTGAAGAAGCCAGCATTCATTTAGCAGCTTTTCTCTAGCAGTTCTTACATGCTTGCTGATTTGTCTTTCCTGTTCTAGTTGTACCTGCAAAATCCAAGGATTACATCTGACGGAAAGAAACTTAAAGCAATGATTTGCTTTGACTATACCTAATATCTCTAGAATCCTTAAAGATGCAAAAATTTAAATAGATATTAAGGGGTTTTCTTTTTTGTACGTATAAAGAAGAAACTAAAAAATGCTTTAGTACAGACCGTTACCTCAACTTCAGATTTTTCTGACAGTGATTGACCAACCTCCTGCTTCAGTTCTTTTTGGGATTTCCTAAGAGACTTAACCTCTTTAATAAGAACTTTAATATCTGCTTTTGATTTTGCCTCTAGCTCTTCATATTGCTTTGATATATGGTTCAGCTGCTCCTTGGTAGCATTTAACTCTTGCAGCATTGCATCTTTCTCCTCGGCAGCAGACTGGTTGCTTGTCTCTGTTATTTGCTTCTCATCCTGTCTCAAGTTTTATTGTTCATTAGTGAAAAGTTAAGAAATTAGATGAAAAGGTGGTTGTTGATAGAAATGAGTGGCGCAAGAAGATTCAAATTACAACCTAACTTGATTCTCTTATTTAGTTTTTCATACAGCCAACCCCAGAGTATGGGATATTAAGGCTTAGTGTGTTGTTGTTGTTGTTGTAGTGAAAAGTTAAACATTCATAAGTATAGGGGCACCCAGCAAAGACTTGCAATGCTTGTCCAAGGAAAAGCAATGATGATTAATATTTCAAAAACATTTCTCAACACTTGAATTCAACTTCAGCAATAAAAGATTAGTTTTGGCTTTATCTTCATATCTTGTCCGGAGTGTGAGGGGCACAGAGTTGGATTTAGATTTTTATGGAAAGAAGACATCAAACAACTAGAAACATACAATCACCAGTTTTAAGCAATGCCTCTCCATGCATAATTTATTAGGCAAAGTTCATTGTTTAGCTTAATTGACAAAAATATCTGTACAAAGCATCAATATCATACGTGTGCACAAGCGTGGTAGTTACAAAGAAGAATAAATTTCAAGAATAAAAAGGAGTTAAATGCATTACCCGTTTACATATAAACTTCAACTCCATTTCCAATGATTTCTGGCGAAGTTCTTCCATTTCCCACTGCATTTGAGTAAACCTTTCTCTTTCAATCAGGATAGCTTGCTGTAGGTTTTCTTTACTTTTCTGTATGGTGCTTTCAAGTTCCACTTCCAAATCCTTAACCTGAGCATCTCCAACTTGTTTCAACCTCAAAATTGCTAATATTTGACTAAGAATAAAGCTCATTCAACCTCTAGTGGAGTATAGAGCACCCAAAGACAAAAACCATTTCAAAATGGAATGAAATGATATATAGATTTCTGGTCAAAATTTGCAGGAATGGACACAGATTGCACATACTTGACCCAAAAGAGAGAAAAGTAGAAAATGCAATACTGATACATACAAAAAACCAAAAGCTAAACATACAAAAATTCCTGCTTTGCACACATTTCATCTGAATGTAGATCAAACAAAGTACATTATTGAAAGAAAAAGGAAACCAATACAGTGAAACATCAAAAGTCAGCTTCACAACTATGAACTATCTCTGCAAATAGCCCCCGAACACTTAAAATATCTCAAATATATTGATACTAAACTATTTCTATTCTTATAACTTTCAAAATTTCTCAGAAAGCATATCAAACTTCTTCCACACACCTTTGTCATAAGATAATCTTTCACTGCTATTTCTTGATTTAATCTTGCTATAAGATCCTCCATGTCAGTTTTTGCAGTGACCAGTCTCTGCTGCATGGTTAAAAGAATCCTGTTCATCATATGAAGCTGATCCAAAGGAAGAACAATTTGTGTATCACCAGAAAACTGAGAACCTGAGTTTCCAAGAGTTCCCTTGGCACTTAAACCTTCGGCAGTTCCAGGAAGGTCAAGAGAGCCATTAACAGATGAATTTGGAATCCCAGACTTGGACACGTCACTACCTCTCAAGGAACTTACATCACTCCCAACACTTTCAGTTGATAGCTTTCGAGCATGACCAGGCATCTTAGCTGGATCTGGCTCAGAAAAGCGTTCAAATTCATTACTAGCAAGAAATGAAGCACTAGACCTGTTTCCATTATAAGTATCTTTCCCCATAGTATTATTTATATTTCTGGGGTATGTTTTATGCCCAGGAAAATCTTCTAGCTGCTCCAAAATTGTCTATCCCATAAATAGTCCCTCATCAATGTTGGACATATCATACTTCACAAGTTTATCTATTGAACCCATTAATTCTTCATCCAATGTCAGATCTCCCAAACCAATTTCAGAACTGTCGTCTCTCCCTAACCTAGGTGTCCCAAGCTCAGATGTCTCATAAGCAGTATCACTAAAATAATCTGATTTAATTGATGAACTACGAGCAGGATGAGATATGCTTGAACTGCAAGGAATGCTATTTGATGAAATTGTGCTATTTCCAGCAACATTTGCTTCTGCTGAGTGTTCATTTACCTCTTGGAATGCTGAAAAGAATAATATGAAATGAAAAAAATCCAAGTTAATGATAAATCTAATCTTGATTATAGATGATATATAAATCTTCTATTAGATATCCAAGATTACTTCGATTCTATTGTACATCCACTTTTACTGGTAAATTGTAGAAGATAAGATAACTAAGTCTTAAAGTCCTGTTATTGAAGTAGAATTGCACTTACAAGACCTTGCAGCAGCTTCTAGTTCAAGAAAGGATGCCACTGTGACACTTCTTGACAAATCAATTTCAGATAACAGCTTTTCCATCCACTCCTCCAATGAACACCTTCTCTGCAACAAAACTAAGCCTTTTGAGGACATTAGTCACCCACATAATAAACATGGCAAACATCAAAAGGTTTAATTTGGAGCCTTCCATTTTTTTCCTTCTTTGTTTTTTCCCCAAACAGACAAATTTGCATCACATAAACAATTTATTGCTACAGTAGAAGCTACATAAATCAAATGATGCCTAAGAAAGATCTTTCAGTTTTGAAATTCAAAATTTTGTTCGAGAACAAATGTTTGTCAAATAAAAACTCTAATTCAATACTACATTTGTATGTCAATAGGAAACTATAGATAAATATGGATTTGAAACTTGAAAGATCAATAGTGCTAGTTGCCAACTTTAGGATTCTTCAAGTTATATTAGACAACTGAAAAGAAAAATCTTTATAGGTTTGAGTTTGGACTTATCCAGAACCAAGTTATATGGAAAAATTTTGGCATCCTTTGACCAATATAGCCTACCACAAAGAGATGTCACTTGGGCAAACTGGTTCTAGGACAATATAATGTTGAGCAAATGCCCATAAAAAACTAAGTTTGGTGGCACAAAGACCTGAGAAGTCCAAAGTTTGATATCAAAGGATGAACGGTTATTACCAACTACAAGGAGAAAAAAGCTAATAGTGATCATTAAAGAAGAAAAAATGAGAATTGAAATAGAGTTATGCCACATTTTCCAGATGATAGAGAGAAGGAAGACAGCACAGCAGTTCTGTTAAAAGCATAAAAGAAAATGGAAAACAAAGAAAGTGAAAAACTTAGTCCCTACCTCTTCCAACAGAGCCCTGCTATTCATATGCAACAACCCCTTGGGTGGAGGAAGGGGAAGATTTTTCTTAGGAAATGTCTTTTTTAGCTGTAGAGGGAAGTAAATAACAATATAAGAGGTCCCTAAATCAGTTGTGATTGAATATTTTAATCAGAATGTGTGTCATTTGTTTAGCTGTAAATGTCAGGACTTACTGCAGTAAATAGCTTTAAAAAATCATTAAATCTTCTCAATACTACACG